TATTTTAATAATATATATATATTTTTTTATATATATATATATATATTATAAGATGTGTATAAGAGACAGGTGCGTATCGTATGCTGATATGCTCCTGCAGTATGCACTAACACACTACTAACGATGTTACACATTGTAGAATAGATACAATGAATAACTATTTATTGTGTTTGACGAACTTAATTGCTATTTTGGTAGACATTTGTTACAGAAATAAACATTTCTTAAAGCATTTGAGAGAATACAGTAATCACATTTTGGTCGGAGCAGACAGGTAAAATCAAGTAATGATTTAATACCCCGACATTCAAACCCCCACCCCGCGGGCCAAGTTCGGCCCGCCAAAAATTTTGATTCGGCCTGCGAAACGTTGCTAAAAGTCATTTTCTGGTCGATTTTTAGAAAAAGTTTTTCTGTTTAGAGCAACACTACATAGGCACCCCTACTCTAACAATGTCTACAGGAATTTCTGAATGTAGCTGAGGCGTAGGGTACTGGCATGGGGAGGGGTAGACTAATGGGGACAATTTATTAAGTGGGACACTGATATGTTGCGATGTCTAACCATTTGCGGCACCATGCAGGCTCGAGGCAAGATATTCTGTTGAAAACACTGCTTTGAAAACTTATTTTTAAGTCTGAAAGTGCAATTTCCAGGAATGTAGAGGAGATCTGTGTTAGAATTTGCTCACTTCAACCCCAATCACTGGTGAGTATATACTTTTTGTGAGAAAGAAATGGAAGTACACAATATTTATGTCTCTCCCCCCCACCCACACGCTGGTCTCAACCCCCAGTTTAAAAAGGTTGAATACCAGGGACTAGACTGAGGTTAGTGACACCCGACCACACCCACTTATGTCGGACCCCTGTCGTAGGTGAACCACAATAGTGAGCTTTCGCATCAACGACAAACGGGCTCAAGGACAGTAATCTGAAACGAAAATCGATCTGCGGGGATATGACCGGTTGAGCCGCCGACAAGTTGAGCCGCCGGTAATTTCTATGGAACGCCAAGCGCGTCTCTTAGTGAATGTAGTGCGTCTCTCAGTGAATGTAGTCGGCTTGCCAATGTCATCAGTGAATGAACCCCCCGGATACCAGCTACATATTCATCCCACAGTCTTGTCAGTCGTTGATTTGCTCATATTGCCGTTCGTGATGTATAATTGTGTAATTGCAAATTAGAATTTTTATATTTTTATGTACTACATTTTTATAAAAATATATGAAGTTGTATAATTGCAAAATCGTATTAAAAATGTAATTTTATGTACTACATTTTTATAAAAATAAATGAAGTTGTATAATTGCAAAATCGTATTAAAAATGTGTTTATTTACGTTTGTTTTGCGGCGTATTTCTTATTCGTTATTTGTACTGTTTTGTTAAATTATTTAATTAAATTATTTATTATATAAGTTTAACAAATAGTACAAAAATAAAAATATATAAATTATAAAACCATAGTAAATACTGTATAACATAGGCCTAAAACATTTAAATTTATTATTTATTATTCATGCAAAATCGTATTAAAAATGTAATAACTTGATTATTTTTTACGTTTGGTTTGCGGCGTATTTCAAAATTCTTATTCGTTATTTGTACTATTTTGTTAAATTATTTAATTAAATTATATTTATTATATATCATTATACTGTATATAATAAATGATAAGAATGTATGGAGTTTTTTTTTTTACTATCTGGCAAGCCGACTGAATTAAGACAGATGACTATAAACAATAAATTTAAATGTGTTAGGCCTATGTTATTATACAGTATTTACTATGGTTTTGTAATTTATATATTTTTATTTTTGTACTATTTGTTACACTTAAAAATAATAAATGATAAGAATGTAGGGAGTTTTTTCTTTTAATATCTGGCAAGCTGACTGAGCAAATACTCACAAAATTTAAATTAAAACGATAGAAAGAACAAGTAAATAAATTGAAATACGTCCCAAAAATATTTAATAAATCAGTGCAAAAACCGAGTATTAAATAAATTGAAATAATTTAGTAAATAAACTGAAATACATCCCAAACAACAGTACCAAGAACGAATAATTTAATTGAAATACGCCGCAATTGACGCACTACATTCACTGAGAGACGCGCTTGGCGTTCCATAGAAATGACCGGCGGCTCAACCGGTCATAATCCGATCTGCGCATGTACGACCCCCCACGCAGCTTCTCGTTTCTTGGCAAAATCACGAACAGTTTTAGGCCAATTTATCGTCCGTGCACGAACTTCTAACTCAAGCAGCCAATCACATGTTGGTAAAAGATCATACATAAAGATCTAGGCCTAGTGAAAACAGAGCCTAACAAGCCTAAATACCTATTGCTTCCTAGGCCAAGGACGGGTGGTAGTTAAATTTCTTTGTTGGTAGCCTGGTTGTTTGTATGTTGTAATGTATTTCCAGGAATGTATTTACTCTAACCTCAGACAGGCTAGGAAACGTTGACTTACAACAAAAGCAAACATTCCAATGAATTCAGAAACAAATTTCCTGCAAAACGTCAACTTCCATGATTTCTGGTTATCTTCCTGATTTGGTGGATTTGCACAACTGCAGTTTTTAATCCAAGCTTCGTACCATAACCCCATTTTTCTGGTTAGAAAGCAAAGCAGCGATATTAAAACGGGAAATCCCCGCTCATCGATGAGATCCAGTTGAAACCAGTTCTTATTATTGTTTACGAAGTGACTAATGACTATTTTTACGACGAGTCGTGAAGATTGGAAGATTATTCCCAATGCTATTCTTACGACGATCGCTAGCGCATGCGCTATAGCGTCCCTCGTCGCGGGGGGTGGGGAAAATAAACAAGTCTTAAACTGAGCGAACCGCGACGCTAAAGGCCTGTTAACACTTCAACGATAACGATAAAAATGCTAAAAAGCGATTGTTCATATAGAAAACAAAAGAAATAAGAGAAGTTTTTACACTAGGACGCTTCTATAACGATTGATCGTGTATGCAATAACAAAATATTTTAACATTTTTACGACGAGTCGTGAAGATTGGAAGATTATTCCCAATGCTATTCTTACGACGATCGCTAGCGCATGCGCTATAGCGTCCCTCGTCGCGGGGGGTGGGGAAAATAAACAAGTCTTAAACTGAGCGAACCGCGACGCTAAAGGCCTGTTAACACTTCAACGATAACGATAAAAATGCTAAAAAGCGATTGCTCATATAAAAAAGAAAAGAAATAAGAGAAGTTTTTACACTAGGACGCTTCTATAACGATTGATCGTGTATGCAATAACAAAATATTTTAACAAATCAAATCAGATGACGTCATAATCATGGACAAACGATAAAATCGTTGCTACTACGACGATTTTAATGTTTTCCCATGATACGTCATCTGATTTGATTTGTCAAAATATGTAATTCCCACTCAATGGCGGGTATTCCTGGAATTGTATTACCAATTACAGTATTTTTATTTGATTACAGTACTAATATTACAGTTTATTAATTGGTGTTATTTTTCTCTTTTACAGAAACAACGCAATGTAAGTCGATTGGTTTGAGATCCGTAATAGTTGTTTGTTTTCATACGTTTGTTTTTTGTTTGTTGCGTTTCCATTACCATTAATGTTCTGATCATATGTTTTCATTTTAATATGTATCAGTACTGTATCTATCCTGGTCACATAAGGGTAACATTTGGTTTAAACGGAGTTGTTAAACCTGGTTAAGGAAATAAATAAATAGTATGTAGTGTGTTCTGTATTGAAAACAACGTTCTTTTCTTGCGGTCCCAGAAATGAAGTGTGAGGACGTGTACAGTACATTTTTTTAATATTTACAGAAGTAACTTTTCAATTTATGAATGCTTCATAATAAAGGCCAATGCGTTTTGTTACGAAATTGAATTAATTTGTTCAATCAACTATGCATTTATATCTGGTTTTTGTAAAAAATATGCAATAAGAAAGTATAATACCTACACAAGCATGGAAGTACACTCGTGTCGGGATTCAATATTTTGACAATAATTAATTATGTATGAATTAGGTAAACGCACGCACGTCATCTTCACTACCATATTACATGCGTTGCACCTAAAAATAACCAGTCGTCTATGTTTAGCATCTAACCTGTAGAAGTACACCCACATGAAGCTGGCGTACAAAAATGTGTCTGCTTCACCCTCAAGAGTACCGTGGAAACTTGTTTGTGAGAACATAACGATTCTTTCTGATATATAGTAATGGTCCAAGCAACTAGTACAGGTAATAGACCTCATCGGAGTGATTCTCCGGATAAGTAAAGAAAGCCCGAAACGGCCATTAACATCATGTTAATAAACATGTGTGTATTTATTGGTGAATTTTAAACATTAATCAGAATGTGTATCAAAATGGAAATAAAAAGATCTAGGAAGTACAAAACTTGTTTTGCAGTGAGCTTCACCTCAAGAGTACCGTGGGAACCTTGTTGGGGAACGTTAGTCCATTCCTTTATCACAGGGGCGGCGCAAGCGGGGGTCAGAGGGGTAAATGGCCTCCTGTCGGGAAATTTCCAGCAGGGTCGTTGGGGAAAAATCAACTTGAGCGCCGAAATTACAATTTAAGCATGGAGGAATTAGTGATTTAAGCATGCCTTACTAAAAGCTGTCAAATTGTAGGGATTCAAAACTGTTTACTGTGCTAGGTATGGTATAATAAGGATCGTAATGTTTGCAGTTGTGGTGCCAGCTCTTCTCCAACGGGAGGCTGCTACCTTTGACGGAATAAAAACCCCATAACACAAAAACACAAAACACAAAAACACAAAATGGGGGGAAAAATGGGAATTCTCCGACAAATTTTGTCGGAGAATTCCCATTCCCATCGTCGTTCTCACGCAGGTGCTAACGGTTAGCTCCCGATCCGGATACTAGGGCTCTCGTGAGAACCAGGCTTTGAGCCAGCGTATGTCGACATGTAAAATATGGCGCGGAATATACGCTGTGTTTCATGCCTGACTGACTGAATTTGAGGGGTCACATGACATAGAACAGCCAATCAGGCTGCTTAATTCTTTATTGGCAATTCTCGTATAAGAAAAAAAAAATATCGCAGACCGAACACATCAAAGAAAGACAAACCATGGAGGTATTATTGAGAAGGAGATCACTCGGCAAGCCACGCGCACGCAGCGCTATGCAAATGAACCAAGATCAAAGTTGCCGCAGCGCGTAAAGAACGTTTGCGCGATGCCTTTGAAGTCCCATGTGTTCCCCGCCATCAAATTTTCAGCAGGCATAGTTGACCAACAAATTGAACATGACGAAATGGATAGCACCTTCTTTTCTCAATGCGCACTACATGCTGTCAATCACTATGGCTGCGCAATCTCTTCTATTTTGAAGCTGATACATTTATCTCTCATAAAATATCAAACATATTAATATTTTCCTCCAAGAAAAGTTTCGAATTTAATGGAACATTTACATGACCTATAAAAGTATAGTATATTTCAACTTCAATTTTCATAAATT